TTTGGTGAGGCAGTTAGGATTAAGTGACTTGCCCAGGGTGACACAGCTAGTAAATGTCAAGTGTCTGAGTAGGTATTTGAGCCCAAGTCCTCCTGAGCTCTGTCTAATACCACCTAGTTGCCCCTAAGTAATCTTAATGGTAACATTTTATTTGGTCTAAATCACTTACTTTGTCTTTTGTGACCTTGTAAAATATCTTTCCTTACTTGAAAGTAATTGTAGTCAAAATGAGTACTGATTCTGCAGTCCTTGTTTTTTAACTTTGTATACATTTTTTCATGTCTTAAATACTTTGTAACATTTTATTCCATGTAACATTTTATTCCATTAGTAGATATCAGTTTACTTAAGCTACTCCTCAGTCATTGGAAAATCAGCAATATTTTTATATATAGGTCTTAGGTCAAAAAGTATTGGCAGTTTTGTTACTTTGTTACTACTCCTGTAGTATGTTACCACGTTATTGTCCAAAAGTGGATATTCAGCTGCATCTCTCTTCAAGAATAAGTGAGTTTGTATAAAGTGAATTGTTTTTCCTTATTTTATAATATATAGAAGAAGGCAGAAACTACACTGACATGGCTTTTGTTGAAGCTGCCATCAGAAGACAAAATCCAATGAACACATTTTAAAGTTTTTTGTGTTATTGCATTATAGTTATTGGGGAGTGTAGTTGAATGTGCTAGATTTTTGGTGAAATGAAATCTAAGTTGCTGGGAAATTAATTTTATCCATGTTCTTAAAAAGATTTTGTTAATATCAGGAAAACAAATCATTGCCTTGTAAGTATCTTTTTATGTTATTAAATTTTGGGATACATGTGCTCCCAAATACGAATGGTTGCTGTCACTTCATTTCAAAAATCAGGAAAAATAGAGAATCACAAGTACGAGACAAATTAGAATTCAAGGCAGAATTTGAACTAGTAAGTAAGATTAGTGAAATAAATATAGGAGCGACTTTTTTTAAAAAAAATTTCTGAATAGGATTTTATTTTTTTCCCAATTACATGTAAAGATAGTTTTCAACATTCATTTTTTATTCCAAATTTTTCTCCCTCTGTACCTGCCCTCCCTCTTCCCCAAGATGGCAAGCAGTCTGATATGTTTATTTCCACTTGTGGCTTAACTTCTATTTTTTTTTATTAAACAATTTATTTTTAGTTTTTGACATTCACTTCCATAAGATTTTGAGTTTCAGATTTTTTTCCGCCTTCTCCCCCAGGTGGCATGCATTCTGATATAGGCTCTACTTATACATTCATATTAAGTATATTTTCACATTAATCATGATATGATGTAAAGAAGAATTAGAACCAATGGCAGGAACCATGAGAAAGAAGGATCAAAACAACGAAAGAAAAGGAGAGCAAATAGTAGGCTTCCATCTGCATTCAGATTCCATAGTTCTTTCTCCGAATGTGGATAGCTACATCCATCATGAGTCTTTTGGAGTTGTCTTAGATCCTTGTATTGCTGAGAAGAGCTAAGTCTATCAAAGTCAGTCATCGCACAGTGTGGCTTTTACTGTGTACGATGTTCTCCTGGTTCTGCTCACTTCACTCTGCATTAGTTCATATAAGTCTTTCCAGGTTTTTCTTTTTTCTTTTAGTTGATTTATTTTGATTTATCAACAATCATTTCCATAAGCTTTAATCTGCATTTAAACTCCATAGTTCATTCTTTGGATGTGGATAGCATTTTCCCTCGTGAGACCTTTGGAGACGTCTTAGATCCTTGCCTTGCTGAGAAGGACTAAGTCTATCAATGTTATTCATCACTCAGCATGGCTCTTTTTGTGTACAATGTTCTCCTGATTATGCTTACTTCACTCAGTATCAGTCCAAGCAAGTCTTTCCAGGTATTTCTGGAGTCTGCCTGCTCATCATTTCTTATAGCACAGTAGTATTCTGTTACATTCATGTACCACAACTTGTTCAGCCATTCCCTAACTGATGGGCATCCTCTCAATTTCCAATTCTTTGCCACCACAGAAAAAGCTGCTAGAAATATTTTTGTGTATGTGGATCCTTTTCTCATTTGTATTATCTGTATGGCATACAGCCCTAGAAGTGCTATTGCTGGGTCAAAGGGTATGCACATTTTTATAGATTTTTGGGCATAGTTCCAAATTGTTCTCAAGAGTGGTTGGATCAGTTCACAACTCCACCAACAATGCATTAGTTTTCCCACATCTTTTCCCCACATTCCCACAGCCAACATTTATCATTTTCCTGTTTTGTTGTGTGATGTGTAACCTCAGAGTCATTTTGATTTTCATTTCTCTGATCAATGGTGATTTAGAGCACTTTTTCATGACTATAGATAGCTTTAATTTCTTCATCTGAAAACTGCGTGTTCATATCGTTTGACCATTTGTCAATTGGGGAATGACTTTTATTATAAATTTGACTCAGTTCTCTATATATTTTAGAAGTGAGGCTTTTATCAGAGACGCGAGTTGTAAAAATTGTTTCCCAGTTTTTTGCTTCCCTTCTGATCTTTGTTGCATTGGCTTTGTCTGTGCAAAACTTCAATTTAATGTAATCAAAGTGTCATCTATTTTGTGTTTCATAATGTTAGCTATCTCTTGTTCGGTCATAAACTCTTCCCTTCTCCATAGATTTGAATAGGTACTTGCTCTCCTGGTTTGCTTATAAAGTATTTGTCTTTATATCTAAATCATGTACCCATTTTGATTTTTATCTTGGAATAGAGTGTAAGATGTTGTTGGTCTATGCCTAGTTTCTGCCATACCGTTTTCCAGTTTTCCCAGCAGATTTTGTTAAATAGTGAGTTCTTATCCCAGATGCTGGAGTCTTTGGATAGGAGTGACTTTTAAAGAGTGAAATTTAAGGGTAATTAACCTATGGCCTGTGAACTTTGTTTTTTAATATTGATAATTATATTTCGAGATGATCAGTATCTTTTTTATTTAATGTATTTTATTTTATGCATTTAAAAACATTCTGAAAAAGGGTCTACAGACTTCACCAGGCTGTCAAAAGGGTCTATGACACAAAAAAGAAACCTCCTTTTAAAAATTAATTGGGGAAAATGCTAGGGCTAATGTTTGTTTTTTGTTTTTGATAAATGCAAAAATGGCACATCAGACACATTTCTATATGTCTGGTAAGGAAATGAAACAATGCCAAAAAAGATTAGAGTTTTCTCTTGAGGTCTAACTAAAAGTTGATTATTTTAAAAAATCAGATTTAGTTTTGGTCTGAGTGAGAGGAGAATTTAATATAACAGTGCTGTTTTGTGCAGCCCTTTTTGTTGACTTGAAAGAATGAAGACATCAAAGCTCTCTTCTTATTTGAAAATAAAACGTTCAAAATTAGAAAGTGAATGATTTATTTTCTTTTAAACTAAAACCTCTTGAAATCAAGTATCAGAAGAAATTTTTAAATATGGTTTGATAATCATTTGTTAATATTTAGCATTTTCTTTTGGCTAGCTGTCAACAAAACCATTTTGATAATTAAAAGCAAATAAATTTGAAATATCTTTCAGTTACAACTTTAAGTTAAAAAATTTTGAGAGGATCAGGCTACCCATCTCCTCTAATTAGTTGCTTGTAACAGGCATTCCAAACTTATATTCCTTGTTTCTCTTTCTTCCAACTGCATTCACCCCCTAAACTTACACTTGCATTCCAAGAAGACAATACCATCTCTCTTCTTTATGCATTTTGCACATTCTGTTCTTTTCTATGTAGCTTTAAATTATCTAAGTATACATGTCTGGGATTTTAAAACATGTGGAAAAATGAGATAAAACCCAGAAATTTAAAAAGATATAATTACTTATCTGTTGGTTTAGAGGAGACTAGGTTAACATAGTCTAGAGAAAGGTTATATGGCAAAAGAAAAACAGCTTTAATAAAACAACAAAAAATAATAGAAACCAAGATGGTTGTTTTCCTGGTCTGGTAAAAAATTGTACTATTTATTATTGGAAAAGAAGAACCATTTTGGAATTTGAGTTTAGAATAAGATAGTACAAAAATTAAAGTTTTTTTTAGTTGTATTAAAGCAGCTTTATATTCTAGTGCTTATATTCTATAAAAAGTAACCTGTGGGGAAAGACATTTGCGTCACTTATGAAGGGATGTGGAAATGAAAGTTTCTTTGTAGCTTATTAAGTATTTAGGACTATGTATGAAAAGTTGATCAGTCTGCCCCTGACACAAGATTTTTTATCTTTATGTTCCATAGATTGATTTTCTGGTTCTTCTTGATATCACATATATAAAATAAGCTTATCACTAAAATTCTGACCGTAATTTTTCATTATTATTATTATTATTGTTGTTGTTGTTAATTGCATTTAGAAGGCACAAGCGTTACTTTTCCTATTGGTAAATGGTGTGACTGCTAGTTAATATAAAGTTATTGCTTAATGAAAGTGAGTATTTCATACTCTTCATTTTAGAGTTCATCCAGATTACAATTTAGATATTGGCATTTAATTTTCTGGGGTCATATTCCTTACCATGGAAAGCTTAGCCTTTGGACAAATCAGTACACAAGAGCATGCCTTCAATAAGGAGAGCCACACATAGGGTGACATTAAGCCTAATACAGTGCCCTCTCAAAAGCAGCGCATTAATAATCAAGTTTGAGAACTTGGGGAAACCTTATCATATAAGGAAGCATTGATGGAAAGGCCTGACTTAAAGTGTAGTGGATGGAAAAGGGCAGCTGATGACCAAGGTTCAGTAACTTCTGTAGAGTCTGCCATTATGAAAAATCTATAGCATTGTTACCAACTAATCAGATTAACCCGTGGCACCTACCCATCCCCTTTACTCAATACAACCATTGGGAAAGTGCATATTGTCCTGGTTTACATCTGCTTCTCTTTCTGTACTGTATTTTGTTCTGTCTTTGTGTGTCACCTGTAGAACGGGAAACCTGTTAAATAATTGTAACAGAGATGCTTTTTTTATTTGCATGTCTACATATTATGTTTACCTGTAACTTTTCTTCTATATAGGAACTTAGCGATTTGGCCCGTGATCCTCCAGCACAGTGTTCTGCAGGTCCAGTTGGGGATGATAGTAAGTGCCTTCTAAAACTTTTCATTTAATTTGAAAATAGCATATACATTTTTTTAGATGATAACAAGAGTTTTTCTTTTTCTAGTGTTTCATTGGCAAGCCACAATTATGGGACCTGTGAGTATTGTGAACCTTTTTAAATGATGATTTTAATTGAAAATTCCATATTGATCTGGTTAGAATTTTAAATATTACTAGACCTCTTTGCTTAATGAGGTGGTAGTCATAAAAGTTTGTTTTTAAACAATAACAGTATTGCCCCTGAAGGAAATATCAAGTAATTTAAAGACTCAGTCACAAGTCTTAAATTCCATATTTGTTACCCATCTTGTTGTTAAGGTGTGGCATATGTATGAAATGGCAAAACTTCCTTGACCTCAATGCAGATGACCTTTATAGCTGTTCAAAGCACTCTCAGTGCTTCCTGGTTATTCCTATGACAAATTATTTAAATAATTCTGATCTGACAATGAGTCGGGCATTATTCAAAGGTGTTACTCTGTTTAAGTACAATTCACAATCATTAAATTAAGTGTCTAGTGGTGAATCAGCTATGTTGACGTTTAACTATATAATTGTATTAATAGCTTTACAGAAATGTAAAATATTTTTTAGGTAAACAGTGTGAGGAATGGTAAACTGCTTTTTAATCCAGCCAAGATAAAGATTAATTGTATTCTGAATTACCACATAATATAGGTTAAACACTTAAAAGAATTGTCAGATAATGCAGTATACCATACTAAAATGTATGCTGAATATAATAATCTTTGAATTAGGAGGTATTTCAGGATTTTGTGGTATCTTTATTTTAACAGAGTTTTTTTGTGTTAAAGGATTAATTGGTGTTTCAGTGATTTTGGATTTTGAAATAAATGTTAGGTTTTCATATTACTTCAAATGATGCTATACTTTACTGTGTAAATGGTAGCCATTTTAACAGTTCCCAGTCAGAAGTTTCAGGGTTTAGGAAAGTTTGATAAGGAGATTTAGCTGTAGTCCTTTCCAAGTGAAACAAAAATTGAGAGTCTTACATAGTCAGAATCTATATTTGGAGTACTTGAGCTACATGTCATTTTATTTCTCTTACACTTCTACAGATTCTTCTCTCATTTCTACCTTTAAGTCAAACAAGATTGTGTAGTGTTGGCACTCTTGGGTAACAGAAAAAAATTATTTAGCTTTTTAGATTGATACATATTTATAATTCTAAACCAATTTTCAGGGATTTAAATGTAAGTCTATATTTGTTAGCATAACCTTTTGGAGGGGGGCTTACATAGGAAAGTGAGATTTTTGGAGTATGTGTAAAACTAAAATGTAATTTTAATATGTATCTTGAAAATACTAAATGTTAATTATTATTTAAAATATATAAACCTGCACCCACTATAATAGTGCTTCCCAACAGGTTTTTTCTGTATAAGAGGTGAATTTTATGAAATGCTAGAAGTAGAATTAATTTTAAATATATTTGGTAAAATATACTCACCACTAACATGGTGAAGAGATGGTCTAAATAATTCTTATGTTTTATATCAGTTTTCAAAGAATTAGAATTCTGTAAATAGACATACTAAAACTATACTAGAGGTCATTTTATCTTTGATTTATAAGATTTTTTAGGTTCTTGTGCTTTTATGCTTTTTATGAGAACCACTTATACAGGTTGAAGCATGCTAATAATAGTTGTTGAATAGTTATTTCCAGTCATCAGAAAAGCCAGTGTTTTCATATTCAAGGCATATCTTCTTTCTTTGGTTTTCAGAATTAAGTGGAGAGAGAGAGAGAGAGTGTGTGTGTGTGTGTGTGTGTGTGGTGTGTAGTGTACCAGCACTTTCCAAAAGGAAGAAAATTGCCAAAACAGGTATTTTCTGTCGTCTTTACTGGAATTAGAGCTTTGTATTCCCAGCAACACTTACATGTTAATGATTGGGTGGGGGGGATGCTAATTGAAATTACTTCCCCAGCTTTTCAGAGAATGAGTACCACTATCTTGACATTTCCTCTAGGAATAAGTCAATTAATAGAAATTTTACTTTCTAAAATACAACCAAGTCTTCTAGATTGATTTTGCTACATCCAGAAGTTCAAATGCCAACTTGAAGTCAGCTCCCTACTAGATGTGATAAATACATAATTTAAAAAATAATGCACTGTGTGTGTGTGTGTGTGTGTGTTTGTATTTAACAAGATATAGCTTATGTTCCCTGATTTCAAGGAATGGAGACACTGCCAGGAAGCATTATGGGTGGTTGGGATGGATCAACCCAACGTGGACTGTATTTTCTCCTCAAATTTTTATCACATACAGTGACATTAGTAGTAGGGACTCATTTGACTTTTTGTAGTAGTGTAATGGGTAAGTGATAAAAATAGTATTAAGTCTGTAGTCAGCCTTTATTTGGATAACTGTTCTTGTGTAGTCTACTCACTTCAGCAAGCACTTAATAAGCACCTATTAGTTACCAGATATGTATTAGGTGCTAAACATACAAAGCTTTTATTTCTTATTTATTTGTTTATATGCTTGCTTGCTTATTTATTTATGGCTAGGCAGTGGGGTTAAGTGACTTGCCCAGGGTCGCACAGCTAGTAAGTGTTATGTGTCTGAGGCTGGATTTGAACTCAGGTCCTCCTGAATCCAGGGCAGGTGCTCAATCCACTGTGCCACCTAGCTGCCCCCAAAGTTTTTATTTTAAAAGGTTCTAGCCTTCAGAATTTACTTTCTACTTGGGGAGGAGAGACACTTAGGAAACAAGGTGTGCATAGATAAGTCCATACAAAGTACACACACAGTAAAATTTAAATCATTTGTGAGGATGGGAGGAAACTTATTTCTGGGCAGAGTCAGGAAAAGCCTCATGAAGGAAGGTGGTAGTTGAACTGAATGTTGAAGGGAGGTAGATGTTTTAAGAGATAGAATGAGAAAAGCATGCATTCTAGATGTGAAAGATCCTAAGCAAAGCCTTAAAAGTAGGAAATTGAGTTTCACGTATGGGGATCAGCTAAAGTCTGTTTTGTAGATTAGGGAGTAGAGAAGAGTAATTATAACAAGCTTTCAAAAAATAGATTGGAGCCTAGATTATAAAGAGTTTTATATACCAAACACAGAGGATTTTGTGTTTTATGCTAAAAAGCAGTATGGGACCACTGAAGCTTCTTGAACACAACAGTGGCACATTCAAACTTAAACTTGAGAATTATCAATTTGGCTGCTGTGTGGAGGATGAGATTCTTGAGAAATTAGGTGCAAAGAAATAATTAATAGACTTGCAGTAGTCTGGGCCAGAAATATTGAGGGGCCTGGTCTAGAGCAGCTGTGGTGTATTGGAAATGGGAACATCAGTATAAAGTAGGTTATAGGAATAGATGAAGAGTTTAGTTGTGAATCTGGATGACTGGGAAAAAGGAGTATAATCAGGAGGTTAAGGAAGTGGGTTTATGGGGAAAGGAAATGAGTTCCCCTCTGCCCTTCTTGAGGTTGAAATGCCTATGGAGCATGTAGCTGGACAAATTTTTGCTGCTCTCAGGTCAATTGACTGGAATGAAAGGATCTGAAATAAAATGAGGCTTAAAATGGTAAGGTGCAAGCATAGTGGAAGGCTTTAAATGCCAAACTGAGAATTTGTATTTTATCCTAGATGCAATAGGCCATTGAAAATTTGTGTGTGGGTTTGTAAAAAGTAAATTGAAGAAGAGAGTATTGCCAGAGAAACTATTAGGAAACTGTTGAGGCACATGAGGCAAGGGATGATGAGGGCATGAGCCAGGCAATGTTAGTGGAGAGTGGGATGAATATTGTGGTTTTTTGCTGTTTAATTTTTATTTTCAGTTCCAGATTCCCTCTTTCCATTCCCTTACTCTTTGTGAAGGCAAGAAATACAATGCCCATTATCATGCAAAATATGTTTCCACATTAGCTGTGTTGCCAAAAGAAAAAAATGTTTCAGTTATGCATTCAGTCTGTGAATTCTCTAGCATTTTTAACCTTGAGCCCTTTGAAATTGTTGCTGATCATTATATTGATCAGAGTTGCTAGCATGGGTGGGGAACCTGTGGCCTAGAGGCCACATGTGGCTCTCTAGCTCCTTGGATGCTGTCTTTTGACTGAAGGTTTACAAAACAAATACCCTTAATAAAAAGATTTGTTATGTGAAGTTTGCATTCAAAGTGCTGTACTTGAGGACCTAGAGGACCACATGTGCCCTTGAAAGGTTCATCACCCCTGCTAGCTCTTTCACAGTTGATTGTTGTTACAATGTTTTTGTTACTGTGTTCATTGTTATCAGGGTTCTGCTCACTTCACTTTGTATTAGTTCATGTGAATCTTCCCAGGTTTTTCTTAAACAACTAGGGTGGATATCATTGAGGGTAAAAGTGCCAAAAGATGGCTTAATATTTTCCCCCAATTACACGTAAAGATAATTTTTAACATCTTTTTTTTTAATTTTGAGTTCTAAACTTTTTTCCTCTATCACGTCTCCCCCTCCTAAAATAGTAAGCAATTTAATATTGATTATATATGTGTAATCATCTGAAATATTTTCATATTAGTCATGTTGTGAAAGAAGAAACAGACCAGAAAGGAGAAAAACCATGAAAAAAATAAAGTAAAAATATTTATGCTTTGATCTATATTCAGGCTTTATTAGTTTTCTCTGTAGATGTAGATAGAATTTTTCATCACAAGTCCTTTGGAATTGGCTTGGATTGCAGAGAATAGCTAAGTCATTCACGGTTGATCATTGTGCAGTGTTGTTGTTATTGTGTACAATGTTCTTCTGGTTCTACTCACTTCACTTTGCTTTAGTTCCTGTAAGTCTTTCCAGGTTTTTCTGAAATCAGCCTGCTTGTGATTTCTTCTAGCACAGTAGTTTTCCATTACAGTCATATACCCCAACTAGTTTTCTGTTCCCCAATTAATGGGCATCCCTTCAATTTTCAGTTCCAAAAGTTTGTTTACTCTTACTGGGTATGGGGTTTTAGATTGGTGATAAAGGGTGGTGGTGCTGTCAGATGGGTAGTTTGGAGGAGTGATTGTATTTTAGACTTGTTCAATTTGAGTTAGGTGGGTCTGTCCAGATGGCGGTTGGTCATGTGGGAATGTTAGAAAT